ATTAGAGTGAGAGAAATCTCAAAGATGAAGAAGAAGAAATAGATGACCAATAAAAAACTAAAACAATAAGGGATAGTGAAAAAATAAATCAGACTTAGAGCACATATGACCTGCAATTGAATTTGGGGTTTATTAACAATGGTGGGGTGTGGGGTGCGAGGGAGAAATAAGAGTTGAAGGAGAAGAGAGGCGGGGAGGAGGATTCGGCTGTTGGATTTCTATTCCTAGAGAACTGATCTTGAGAGGATCTGAATCCAATAAATAGTTAGAATATATATATATATATACAGGAAGCTTAAGGGGAGGGATCCCCATTTTTTCAAAAAAAATGGGGACACGCTCCCCACCGTTAGATTGACTTTAATGAAATTGTGTGGTTGAGATTAAAACACAGGCCATAGAATCTCAACCACAGGATTTCATTTAATTCAAATCCAACGGTGGGGAGCGTGTCCCCATTTTTTTGAAAAAATGGGGATCCCTCCCCTTAAGCAATTCCTATATATATATATATATATATATATATATATATATATATATATATATATATATATATATTCTATCTCTCTCTAGCCCTATGTTTACATGAAGGAGTCTACTCAAGTAAAAATAAATAAATAAAAAAGGACACTGCATTGCAGTGTTCGAATCCAAATGTAAAAAACAGAACAAAACAGAACCAGGAAACGGACACTGCATTATAGTTTCTGAATCTAAATGTAAAATCAGGAGTTGCATGAGGTGTGAAGTGTAGGAGACGTGTGAGTGATGGAAAAAATAGAACTAGGAAATGGACATTGTAATGCAGCATCTGAATCCAAAAGTGAAAAATAGAACCAGGAAACGGACATTGCATTGTAGTGTCTGAATCCAAATGTACAAAGGAACATGTAGGAGGCATGTGAGTGATGGAAAAAACGAAACCAATAAATGGACACTACAACTTAGTGTCTGGGTCCAAATGTAAAAAACATAATCAGGAAACATATACTGCTGTAGTGTCTGATCCATATTGACTTATTCCAAATATAGACCTATAAGAAAGAGAGTGTTAATTGAAGTGGGTGTCAGCTGTAGTTGCAGATTTTGTAATTTTTGTTTATTTTAAATGCATTTAAGTATCACAATACATGATCAACTTATTTATAATTAACATAAATATTGTTGATCTATTGTTAATATTGTAACTTTTTATTGATTTTTCACAAAATCACCCTAAAATTTATGCGTCGGCCAATAAATCAATACCTCTTACACAATTGTTTTCCAGAATCATTAATTCTCCGTTTCAATTTGCATAGTTTGAAAAATATTTCATGATATTAATTCACATAATATCAATATAATTAATTGTAGATAATAAATAAGTAATTAGAGATATTTTAGGCATCTAAAGAACACAAATTGTTTAAAGCCAAACTTAATTAAGAACGAGTGTTGATATTCCCATCCCAATGTCTTATTTTCCCACTCACCATTTAATAAAAATGTTAATGACATGTTTATCCTTTTAAAAGAAGACTTCTAAATCCCTATTTAATTAATTACAAAAATTCAAAAAAAAAACATAATTTAAAATAATAAATAAATAATGGAGAAAAGATTTGGGCTACAATCGGCATAAAGGTTGGAGGAAGGAATGGTGTGTGCTAGATGAAGGTGAGAAACTTCAATGGAGCCTTTGCAGTGTGACGGTAGGTGTGAATACTGGGCATGTGGAAGGGGGGCGGGTGGTAGGGAATATCAGTGTAAATAAAGGGTGGGGATTTGGAAAGAGAGTTTTTTTTTGTTGGGGAGGGGGGGGGGGGGTGTGTGGTGGGGGTGGAGAGAGAGATTTGAGTAGGAAAAGATATTATGAAAGGGATGCGATGATTTTAAGGACATGGTTGATTTGAAGGAGATGATGAATGTCCAAGGCTTGCATTTTCTTTCAGTTTTTTTTATTTAAATATTATTTAAAGATATATTAGAGATGTATTAGGGTTATTTTGGAAATAATGGTGGGTGGGAAAATAACATTTTACTTCTTTTACTTTTTATGGTGGGTGAGATTATCATGTGGGTGGAAAAATAGGTCACTGAGATGAGTCTAGTAGCACTCTTTAAAATTAGCTTAGATGGAGCCTAATCACTGAGTTTTAGTTAAAAAATTAAAATTATGTCAGGTTTTAAGTACTGAAAATTTAGGTAGAGCCTAAACTGCAATTTTTGTATTGTATTTGAATAGTATAAGACTTGACAAGTGATATGTAAACAAGAGCAGAGCCAACTAGTGGCTGCCCTAGACTCTAGCACACCCGAAATTTTAAAAGATGGGAATTTTGGGTGTTAAAATAACCATGTTATAAGAAAATCTAAGTCTAATATTTGACAAACAGATTTTTTTGTTTGAGCAAACAATATAATCTACACTAAGGAGAGATGTGGACTTAATCTCACAATGAACTAGCAATAATGTGGATCAACTTCGCATTTGATGAGAATCAAATCTAAGATCTTTCATTTACAAGTGAAGATAAATATTACTAGACTGTAGTACTAAGTGACTTGACAAACATAAATTTAGCCTACTCTCAATATCTAAATTTCACTCCATACTACAAGAAAATAAACTAGCCCCCTTTATTTAATTTCTTACCTCCATCGATCCTTGTTTAGAAACATCATATCAATTAACAATTTGATCACATTATGGGTGATACAAAGTTGCAAACGTTACTCGGTTATATCTTTGACTTTTAATATTCTATCCATTCAGAGAACTAAGGGAAAATTCCAGAGAAAATATTTTAGACATAGATTAAGAACACTTTTTTTTTCTTAATCGAAAGCTTAAGAACACTCATGTATTCAAATATTCATTGTTTGCCTGTTAAGACATGCTACCAAATTTTTATATTAAAATCCAAAAGACGCGCAGTTGGAAGGTGAATGTGTAACCACCAAATTAAACCAGTCCTCCTAGTTAATTAGGCAGGAGATTATATAGATTTCCTACCGTTTAAATTAATACGACTTAGCAATATTCATCTTGCTCACAACTACAAAATAAAAAGTAATGTGATCAAAGTCACACCCAAACATCGTCATGCATGATGCATGGTTGATGATGATTCATCAACAAGTTGTAGAAGCGCCTTTATATAGTTGGGTTTCATCCAAGTCCGGCAAAAACTGTAGAACCAAAATTAAACTTACATGCCAAGTACATAACTTTAATTCTTTTGGAATAAGATGCTTTATTTAAATATCATAAGCTAGTACATGGGAATGAAGAAATAGTACAAATAATAGTATAAAGGATAGCCACAATGTCCATTCAAACTCAAACGTGAAAATCAATAACAAAAGCATGATTTAAGTTAGGATAGTGTTAATCACATATCCATTTTTACTTCTCACACACTTTTTTTAATTTCGGCTATCGAATCAAATGAATTGAAAAAGATAAATGATAAGAAATTAACAAAGGTGTGTGTAAGGTAAAAATAAATGTGTATATAACACTATAAGTTAAAAGATTATCTGCTTGAAAAAAATAAAGGTACGTACATAAAAAAGAAAGAAAAAATAAAACAATTCTCATCGAATCAAACTCTCACTAAACTCCATGTCAAAACTAAATCTACGGTGTAACATTAGTTGAGCAAGCCTCGATAGAAAAAATTACTGTGAAAAAATCATATGATAAAACTTCAGAGTACGAAAAAGAGCACCAAAATATTACAAGCTGTCTTTAACTAAAAGAACATCCACATTTGAATGTGATGTTAGGTAGATTAATTATGGCAACCAAATTTATAAATTATATGACGTGTCACTAATAAGAAATAAGCATTGTAATCAACACTTAAGTAATAATTCAATTAATTACAACAACCACGTCATACGATTTAAAAAAATTAGTTTTAAAAAATTGGACTCCCTAACATTACTCCCATTCAAATTAGTTGAAAAACATTATTAACATGTAAGTAGACAAATAATAACAAGATTAATGCATCTTCCCAATAATAAGAATAGGCTTAAATGTCAAAATGGTCACTGTGTTTTACTCTATCAGCCAATTTAGTCCATATGTTTTCAATTTGGCCAAATTGGTCCACGTGTTTACATCTGTTAGCCAATTCAAGACATTCTGTTAAAGGACTAGTAAAATTAACATGTGCGAGGACAAAAATGTAATATTATGTACACACACTAAACATATACGATGCCTATCTTTAGAAATTGATGTTTCGTTCAATTCATTTGAGTACTATTTTAACTGTCTTTTAACAGATTCTCTTGAATTGGCTAACATATGTAAACAAAGTGACCAAATTGGTCAAATTGAAAATATAAAAACTAAATTGGTCAATAGGATAAAACGCAGGGATCATTTTCACATTTAAACCATAAGAATAATATTACATTTCCGAATTAAGCCCATGTTGCCAAAATTGCCAGTTATGGGCTAATCACTGAAGCCCAACAGTAAAAAGTATCCTATTCCTAGCACTACATGTCGGCATAATAGTCGTTGCAATACAGAACTCAATTCAAAGATGAACTTCTCTCTCTCGTTTCTCTCTCCAAGTTCTAACACCTTCCTCTTTCTTGCTTTCTTCAACAAGTAAACCGACAGAATTTCCAATTTTCCATTACTTTATAAGCCCCATGTATATATGCATCGAGTTAAAACCCCTCTGTGTGAACATAATCTCCACTACCTTCATGGTCGGCTTCTTAGATCTATATTTTGATGGGGTTTTGGTACATATCACATCTCACATAAGAAATTGCAAAAACACAAGTTTTAATTGTGCCAAAAAGGAAAAAAATAAGTTAAGGAAAATAAAATTATCAGAAAGGTGCATCGTGTGGATGAATGAACAAGATTGTCTCAAAGGCAACACTATTTTAATGGCGGCTCGTCGTGTTTGAATTGTGAACCGTGAACCGGTCCACATATATATATAGCCGTTGCTCTCAGAAGGATTTTCATAATTTGTCAAAAGCTCGATCTGGGTCATCCTTAAAATTCTCTCTCTGTCGATCAAAACTTCACATCGAAAGAAAATAAAAAGAGCTAAGAGCAGCTGGGTTTTACATGTGCTTACTGAAGGTGGCGAACCAAAGGGGCTCAGGAGGCGGCGGTCAATACGACAGGTTTGACTCTCCAAACGACGCTAGCGATGTTGATGCAAATATTAATAACATTAACTACGGCGGAGGATTAGAGTTGCCGCCGCCTTATCAACAACAAGAAGGACAACAACATGTTTCGCCTTCGACGCCGACAATGTTTTTGGGGTACAGTCGGTCGGCTACGGAGATGTCGGCGATGGTGTCGGCTTTGACGCAAGTCGTTTCGGGACAGAGAGGCAGCGATAGCCGGGGGCATATTGGAAGCGGTGGAGTTACGTCTAGTCTAGGCCAACTTTATTCTTCTGCATCTTCATCTTCTGCTTCTCCTTTGTCAGCTGCTTTTCCTTCAAGTGCTTCTGGTTCTCACTATTGGGTCGGTCAAAAGAGAGGGCGCGAACAAGATTTTGCTTCTGCTTCTGCTCAAAGCCAATTCATGGAATCTGGTAATAGAGCTTTTAGAGGTGGCTATAGGGATTACAGAGGAACGCAATCAGAGTCTTCATCTGGTGGTGCAACTGGTCAGTTTTCAATCTATAATCCAAATCATCATCCTTTAAACTCTTTTTTTTTTATTATGGTTTTTTTTTTAGAACTTGGTTTTTTTATCATGTGTTCTCAACCATTTTTAATAATAATCAATGGTTTTGAGAAGACAAAATAAATTAAATGCCATTTTTAATCACTTAAAAATAATTCATTCCTTCATATTATTTCTCTTCTTGAGATTTATTTGTGGAAAAATAAAATTGAAGATTTGCAATGAGTTTTTCTTCTACTATAACATGACATATTATCCAATATTGCATGCAGTTTGTTGTTACTTGTTTACCTTAATTAGCAGAATCCTGCAAAGATTAAAACTTTCATTTCTTGAGATTTTTAGGTTAACATGTTTACATTTTGAATTTATTTTTTCCAAAATTATTCATAAAAGAAGAAGAAAAACCCAATGAAACAGTGCCGCGATACACCAAGATGAATAATCTATATAATTAATATACGTGCTTTTTCATACAGTGACAGAAGAAACTACAAATTTTGCCACCGCCCCCACCACTACGACGGCCACCGTATCTGCTACCACAGCGGTACCAACCACACCATCAAGTGCAGAATCTGTTTCATTTGAAGAAACTGGCGAGACGAGGAGGAGATACAGGGGAGTTAGACAGAGGCCGTGGGGTAAATGGGCAGCTGAGATACGCGATCCACACAAAGCTGCAAGAGTCTGGCTCGGCACATTCGACACGGCGGAAGCCGCCGCCCGAGCCTATGATGAAGCTGCTCTAAGATTCAGAGGAAACAGAGCTAAATTAAACTTCCCAGAAAACGTCAGACTCATCCAACCACCAGCAGCTGTCCAAACATTCAATTCAAATTCTAGACCAACACAATCAGCTCAGCCATTGCAGCCGCCGCCACAACCGCCACAACAGCAACTCTATCACTCCCAGCAAGCTTTTCATCCCTCCTCTGACCTCATCCGAGATTACTTTGACTACTCTCAGCTCCTTCAAAACTCCGCCGACTCAAATTTGCTGGAACATATGTACTACTACAATTCCCAGTTGGTGTCACTTCAATCTTCTTTGCTACAACCTACAACGTCATCCACTCCATCTTCTGCATTGCCGTCCTCGGCCTCCTCTTCTTCATTTCCTCTGTTTTTCTCTGAGCAGAATCAGCAACAGGGTTTTTTCCGGCAGCCACAGGATCCGAATCAGGGTGGTTCGTCTGATTTCCAGGCACCATCTTGGTCACATTCCGGCAACAATCCATCCTCATCCGGTTGATACTTTCATGAATACTTTTTTTTTTCTTTCCTTTATTTTATTAATAGAATATTTTTCTTGTTACTAGGTTTTGATTTTAATATCATAAATACACCATGTATTTTGCACGTAGTATTTTTGTTTTATTTATTAATTATTATTTGGATTTTTATGTCATATTTGTAAAGCAAAGAGATAAAAACAAGGGAGGCACTTAGGATTTAGGTGTTAGTTTGATCTCAAAAGATTTGATGTCTACCTTCTTCTCGCAGTCATCATCTATGGAAGGATGTAGAAGCCTTCTTTTTTAACGTTTCTGCATTTTGCTTGACATTCAAATTATCACAATGATACATACCACTGGTTAGTAGTACAGATTTTACGCAAGATTTAAACATTGCAAATATTAATTAGATTTATATATACAATATATAAATAGTTTATTTTCTAAATCGATCAGTGCTATGTATCGTGGAAGAAAATTACAAATTTATTCGACTAAAGGATACATTTACATGTTGTTATATATATATATATATATATGTCTGTGTGTTGTGTATAATAATTTTGTGCTGATGGTGATCTTTCATGGTTATCCTTTGTGTTATCGGTATCCAGGTATGCTCCTTTTTAATATTACCATCTTACCCCGTTTGTGTTGATCTTCACACCTAAACTGTGGATGAGGATCAAATTGAACAATGAATACTAAATTGTAATTTCATGGTGGATCCTATCCAAATTAGGGTATATGGATAAGACTCAAACGCACCATATTGGAGGGGATGAATGTATCACAAGATCTAGTGGTGTCCTTTCTTTTCAGTTATTACCCCCAAACATCTTATCAAGGGTGGATTTGAATCCAAAGTATGTGTTAGGCTCAGAATTATATGGGTGTGACTCGAGCCTAACTACATCATCAAAAGTACTTTGAATTTCGAGTATCTTCTAACATTTCAAATATGTGTTAAGCTCAAATTAATACGGGTGTGACTCGAGCCTAACCATATCAAGAAAAATACTTTGAATTTCGAGAAAGAAAAAATATTAATACAAAAAAAATTAGGCCCCATAGCCTTTTACTTCTTTTGTAATACTGAGACGACTAGTAACGAATTGTAGCCAAACAAAAGTGAAAACATATACGTGTTTGCATGTATCGAAGCACGACATGAGAGGTTCGTGTCTCGTATGTGTTAGGCCTAAATTTGGATAATCAAGCTTGCCACTCCTACAATTTTAGGCACACAAAAGTGAACTAGTAAAATGAGGTCCACACAATATAAATTATTTTTCTTTTAACGTTTTTAGACTTGGTTCTCACTGAAACTAATATTGTTAGTGAAAAACACTTGTATCAAATGAAGGAGAGAAAAAACTCATTTTGATCTATTGTGCAATTACAATTATTAAGGCTAATATTGTAAAAGATAAAACTTAGAAGATATTTTTCTGATATAGTTAGTTTTCATGAGCTGTAAATCAATTAGATGAGCTGTCATTTTTATAGGTTTATTAGTTGTATATATAACCATCTGTTGTAATCTTATTGACTAAGAAAATACAATCATAAATTTTCTATCATGGTATCTCTCGCCATCTGTCTTACGACTCTCTCTCGATCCTTTCCCTAAACACTGCTTTCGCACCGCCTCTTTCTTCCCAATCGTCACCCTAATCGCCTTCTCTTTCTTCCCAATCGCAACCCTAATCGTCTTCCATGGCGGCGTCTCCTTCCTCTGGTCATGACTCGTCTTCTCACGGTGTTTCTCCGTCACCTTATTCCATTACCATCCAGAATATTGGTTCAATGGTCCCGATTAAGCTCACTACCACCAACTATCTCACCTGGAGTGCATTATTTGCTCCGATCTTCCGGCGCTATAATCTTACTGGCATTGTCGATGGATCTCAGGTGGCTCCGCCGAAGTATCTCTGTGATTCTTCTGGAAATCGCACGTCAATCTTGAATCCTGAGTTTGTTTCTTGGTATGAAAATGATCAGAACATCCTAATCTGGATAAATTCAACTCTTTCTGATTCTTTGATCCCTTATACTGTTGGTGTCAATTCTTCTCGCGAGCTCTGGTCTAAACTTGAATCCAGACTTGCAACGGCGTCGCACTCTCACATTCATGAGCTCAGATCTCGGCTTCGCACCATTACCAAAGGTGAATCCTCCGCCGCCTTATTTCTTCAACGGATTGAAGAAATTGCTGATGCTTTGGCCAGCGCTGGTGCTCCGGTTGATGATTCTGAGTTAATCTCTGTTACACTTCATGGTTTACCTCCTGAATTTGACTCCTTTGTGGATGCTGTTCAATTCCGAGTCGGTTCTACAACTCTTGATGAACTCCACGGTCTTTTGTTGAGTAAAGAGATTCAGATCGAAAATCGGAAGAAATTTTCCTCTGCACCGATCCAAGCCTTTAATACTTCTACTGGTATTTTGCCTACACCTACTGAACCTCCTCCCTCTCAGGCTTACATTGCTCAGAGTTTCTCTACTTCTTCTTCAAATCAAGGCCGTGGCTCGCATCTCCGAAGTTCGCAAAATCGTGGAAATTTCAGGGGTAATATTCAGCGCAATCACTACACCAGGCCTAATAATCAGCGGTATTTTCAGAATCGTGGCTTCAGATTCAACAACAACTCAAATTCCTTTAACTCTGGCAAACGACTGACTTGTCAAATTTGCAAGCAATTTGACCATGAAGCTATGGAGTGTTCCCAACGCCTCAATCCTAATTTTGGTGCTCCGTCCCAATCTGCTTTTTGTGCTACTACATCTTCATCTCCCCACACCTGGTTGCTTGATTCTGGAGCTTCTTCTCACATGACAAACTCCTATGCAAAACTGCAAAATCCTGAATCCTACTCTGGTCCTGAACAAGTCTACATTGGCGATGGCAAAGGTTTGCCTATTCTCCATCTTGGCTCTTCTCGTGTCTCTACTAATACTCACTGCTTTGATCTTAAGAATGTTTTACATGTTCCTGCCTTAAAGCAAGATTTGCTTTCTGCCAACAAATTCATTCTTGATAATCAATGCTCAGTTCATCTGTATCCTTTCCACTTTCTTGTGAAGGACCTTTCTTCGGAGAAGGTGCTTTTTAAAGGACCTGTACGCGACGGATTCTATCCCTTTTCTACTACAAATTCTTCTGTTGGTGCTCAACATGCTTTTGCAGCAACATCCAAGGCCTCTCAGGATATATGGCATCAAAGATTAGGCCATCCTTCATCTCGAATAATGAATAAGATTGCTTCAACTTCTTGTATTTCTTTTACTGGTAGTTCCCTTCAGTCTATGTGTTCTAGTTGTGCGATGGGAAAATGTTCAAAACTACCATTTTCTTCTGTTTCTTGTTCATCAAGCAAGCCTTTGGAGCTTTTACATACTGATATATGGGGTCCCTCACCAGTTAGTTCTGTTCACGGTTTCCGCTACTATATCATTTTTGTTGATGATTTCTCCAAATATTGCTGGTTCTTTCCACTTAAATACAAATCTGAAGCTTTCACTGTGTTTACTCAATTCAAGTCTATGGTTGAGAATCTGTTGTGTACTAAGATTGTGACTTTGCGATCCGATTCTGGTGGGGAATTTACTAGTACTCAATTCTCCTGTTTCTTGAAAACACATGGCATCATACATCAACTTACCTGTCCTCACACCCCCGAACAGAATGGTTGTGCTGAAAGGAAGCACAGGCACATTGTTGAGACTGCACGCACACTTCTTGCTGCCTCTAAAGTTCCCCATGAATTTTGGATTGATGCTTTTGCTACATCTATATATCTGATTAATCGGCTTCCTACTGCCTCTCAGTGTTCTCCCTGGGAATCTCTATTTCACAAGTCTCCAGATTATCATACACTCAAAATATTTGGCTGCCAGTGCTTTCCCTGGTTAAAACCTTATGTTCACTCGAAACTTGATCCCAAAAGTCAGCCTTGTGTATTTTTGGGGTATAGTTTGCAACATAAAGGATACAAGTGTCTCGATGTTGTGACAAAACGGATTTATATCGTCATGTGCTCTTTGATGAACTTCATTTTCCTTTTCATCACATTCCTTCCTCTTCCTCTCTGTCTCCACTTCTTAGTACCTGTCCCAATCCCATTCCCACATCTTTAACATTTACCACTCCTATTATCACATCTTTGTCTCCGTCCACTTCTTCTTCTTCTTCAACTCCTCATCCTGGACCTTCTACTTCCCTTCCCTCCTCTCCTTCTCTGCCACCTCAAGTCCCTCCTCCTCCTTCATCTCCGGTTAATAATCACCCTATGCAAACTCGCTCTAAGTCTGGGATCTACAAGCCTAAAGCCTACACAGCAACTAAGCATCCCCTTCCCTCTTCTCTATCTCTAGACTATTCCTACTACCTACTTACAAGCCTCCAAACACCCTCATTGGCGGCAGGCTATGCAGGAAGAGTTCAATGCCTTGCTCAGTATTGGCACTTGGTCTCTTGTTCCATCTCAGCCTTCTCAAAACTTGGTCGGTTGCAAATGGGTTTTCCGCATTAAGAGGAACCCCGATGGCACTATTGCTCGGTACAAAGCCCGGCTTGTTGCGAAAGGGTTCCATCAGCAACATGGTCTGGATTATACGGAGACCTTCAGTCCTGTTGCAAAACCTGTCACTATTCGGTTACTTCTTACTTTGGCAGCTCAATTCGATTGGTTTCTAAATCAATTGGATGTTAGCAATGCTTTTCTGCATGGGGACCTCTCTGAATCTGTGTTTATGGTTCAGCCATCAGGCTTTGAAGATCCTACAAAGCCAACTCATGTCTGTAGACTGCACAAGTCCTTGTATGGGCTCAAGCAAGCCCCTCGGGCATGGTATGAGAAACTCTATTCTGCTCTTTCTTCTCTTGGTTTCCATGGTTCACAGAATGATCATTCCCTCTTCGTTAAAAAGGATCCTACATTGGTATTCATTCTTGTTTATGTTGATGATATCCTTGTTACCGGTCCTGATGCTCGAGCTTGTCAAGCTACAATCTCTCAGCTCAGTGCTTTGTTTCCTATCAAGGATTTGGGCCCACTGCACTATTTTCTTGGCCTGGAAATACACCGGTCGTCCTCTGGTATTTTTCTTTCTCAGACAAAATACATTTTGGATCTACTTCAGAAATC